GTGTTTTAAAGACTGGAATTGAGCACCGTTTGAAACGGAGATCTCGGGCATCCATCTCTTTACCTGGAGGGAGGTTGCCGGTCTTGCGAATATGTACAAAACACTCGATGTCGTTCCCGATGCTGCACTGCTCGAGGGCTTTGCGGATCTCTTCGTAGTTCTGTCATAGGGGAGAGAAGGTTGCTTTTAGTGGCAGGAAAATGGCATGCCCCGAATCGCTTCTACGTTCCCGAATCAAAATGGAGGAGAAGCAGGAGGTAAGAAACGGCAGGCACACATCTTGTGCTTACACACAAGCAGTCGCTTTTGGAAGAAAAATCTTTGTGGTTTTTTTATTTCTCTTTTGGAGGAACAATTCCTTCATCGGAAAAAAATCCAATTTGGATCATTGTAGAGTTGTAATTGCAGGAATGTTCCAATCTGGGATGGCAAACCTCAGAAAAAGAATGTTTCCAAGCAAACACAACTCAGGTAAACAAAGTCACTCATCTAAAGGAGGATTAGAAAGAGGAAGTAAACATACGTTAGACTTTAACTAGAGATAATTAATTGTATTAATTACTGTGCTCAACAGTAACGAAAGTTAAGCAGTAACCAAAGTTAACCAATGATGGAGGATAACTAAAAATGTGTATATAAATGCAAGACTAGACTCCAATAAAGAGGAAGGATCCTGATTCAATTGTTCATGATCCAACAACTCGACTGCCTCGTCATTACAACAGATCATCTATGGAATGGAAATGGAAATAGAATTGGAAATAGAAATGGAAACTGAATTGGAAATAGAAATGGAAATGGTACTAGGACTAGAAATGGAATGGAACAGAACAGAATAAATTTCATGACTCAGTTCAGAAAACTTTGTTTTCAAAATTTTGATATGTTTTTGGAGAAGTAACCGAATTCAGGGAGGAAGGGAAATGTTCCTGCAAATGTATCTGGATCAATTCAGAGCTATACAATTCAATTCAGAACTTTAAATCATTTTGGGGGGAAGGGGGGCGTCTAGAAATAATAAGGCTGCCTGTCGATCGTTGTGTTCTTCATAGAATTCAAGGGCATCTAAAACTATTCTCACATTATATTTTGTTTGTCTATTTGGGAGGAAGCCGTTTTGATCGCTATGTGTGAATTCATTTAAATAATTTTTAAATCTTTCAGCTATGATCGTAGTAAGATATTTTATAATCTGTATTTAAGAGAGAGATTGGCCTATAATTTTGAATTCTTGTCTGACCTGTACCTTCTTTTCTAATCAACACTGTATGGGCCTCTCTCCAAGATTTTGGTATTTTTCCCTTCCTCAAGCACAGCATTGAAGACCTCTAATAGATATTGGTTCACGGTATTCTGATGTTCTTTATATAGCTCTTTTTTTTAAAGCATCAATTCAGAATTCCGATCAATCTCTGGGCCTCCACCTGGGATCGAACTCATAGCCTCCTGATTGTGAGGCGAGAGCTCCACCCCTAGGACACTGCACTCCTTTCCTGTAGCCTGAAAATACCAATCCCAAAAAAGTTTGTCAATGCCCGATCTACAGAAGGTAGGAATTGACACTCCTTTCTTACATCATCATTCTTGACACAACCTTCCGACAGCTGGTTGACATGCAACCACATAGCGTTCCGAAAATAGTTGATCCGCTCGCATTCTTGACTCTCGAAGAACTGCAGGAGACACAGAAGAAGATCAGCTATTGAACTCCTCAAAAGAAGCAGCATTATTATGTCTGAGTATCTATGGAGTATCTTACTCATCCAGGTCATGGGTTGTTTTTCGAGAGGCAAGTGGACTTTCTGGTTTTGCTTTGAAGACGTTTCACTTCTCATCCAAGAAGCTTCTTTAGCTAAGACTGGATGGTGGGGAATGGAAGGATCCCATAGGACTGAAGAAGCTTCTTGGATTGAGAAGTGTTAGTTGGTTCAGGAATTCTGGGAGTTGAAGTCCACACGTCAGAAAGGGGCCATAGTTCCCTCATGCTGACTCAGGAATTCTGGGAGTTGAAGTCCACAAGTTATATACCCCTCACATCCCAGACATAAACTGTTTCAACTCCTTCCCTCAAGATAACACTATAGAGCCCAGCACACCAGAACAATTAGACACAAGAACAGTTTTTCCCCCAAACGCCATCACTCTGCTAAACAAATAATTCCCTCAACACTGTCCAACTATTTACAAAGTCTGCACTACTATTACTATTAATCTTCTCATCCCTCCTTTTCACCCCTCCCCTCCTACTTGTGACCGTATGAGTGTAACTTTGTCGCTTGTATCCTTATGATTTATATTGATTGTTTCCTAGTATGATTTGATTGCTTATTATACGCTATGACTATCATTAAGTGTTGTAACCTGATGATTCTTGACTCTTGATGAATGTATCTTTTCTTTTATGTACACGGAGAGCATTTGCACCAAGACAAATTCCTTGTGTGTCCAGTCACACTTGGCCAATAAAGAATTCTAAAGAATTCTATTCTCTTATAAAGTGACACAGACACAGATGAACAGGGTTGGAAGGGACCTCGTAGGTCATCTAGTCCAACACACCCCCCCCCACCTAAGCAGACTCTACACCATTTCTGACAGGTGGCAGTCCAGTCTCTTCTTGAAAACTTCTAGTGATGAAGCTTTCAAAACTGTCTGAAGGCAACTTCTGTTCCATTGGTTGGTTGTTCTTCCTGTCAGAAAGTTTCTCCTTATTTCCAGGTTGAATCTCTCCTTGATCAATTTCCATCCATTGTTCCTTGTCTGGCCTTTGGGTGCTTTAGAAAAAAGCTTGACCCCTTCCTCCTCTCTGTGACAGCCCCTCAGATATTGGAAGACTGCTATCCTGTCTCCCCTGGTCCTTCTCTTCACTAGACTAGCCAGGTCCAGTTCCCCACCTCTGGTCTAAAGATGAATGAATGGTCTAAAGATACCATAAATGGTTAAGGCAACTAGGTATGTCTAAACCTAATGAAGAGAAGTTTAGAAGTGACCTGACAGCAGCCTTCCAATATCTGAAGGGCTGTTACGGGGAAGAGAGATTTATTCAATTTATTCTCCATAGCGCCTGAGGACAGGACAAGAAGTAATGGAAACGTATCAAAAAGCAGTCCAACCGAGAACTAAGGAGAAATTGTCTGATAGTGGGAACAGTTAATCGGTGAAATGGCTTGCCTCCTGAAATTGTCGGATTAGACAACCACTTGTCCATAATAGAATGAGGTTTCCTGCGAGACTCTAGAAAGAGTGCAGAGAAGATCAACAAAGATAGAATCAGAATCAGATAAACAGAGTTGGAAGGGACCTTGTAGGCCATCTAGTCCAACCCCCCACCCAAGGAGGAGACCTGCCTACACCATTTCTGACAAATGTAGCAGTCCAATCTCTTCCTGAAAATCTCAAGTGATAAAACTCCTACAACTTCTGAAGGCAACTTCTGTTCCATTGGTTGATCGTTCTCACCGTCAGAAAATTTCTCCTTATTTCTAGGTTGAATCCAGGGGTGGGATACAACAGGGTTAACTACCGGTTCAGGATTTACGAGCTTCCCTGCAGGCTGCGAGCCGCGCGCCTGTAAATCGTCATCAGCAGCTGCCTGCAGAGAAGCAGCCTTTGAAACAGCCCTCTTTTCTCGCTTTTCTAACTGCAGCTGTGCCTCGTTCGGCAGCTGAAGTTGAAAAATCAGGAAATAAAGATCGGGTAAGAGCCCGGGTAGGCGGGTGGGCAAAAACATCCACAGACATAGAACCGGTTGCTGCTCTTCAGAGCTACCGGTTCTACAGAGATGGACAGAACCAGTAGAAACCCAGCCCTGGTTGAATCTTTCCTTGATCAGTTTCCATCCATTATTCCTTATCTGGCCTTTGGGTGCCTTGGAAAATAGCTTGACCCCTTCCTCCTCTCTGTGGCAGCCCCTCAAATATTGGAAGACTGCTATCCTGTCTGCCCTGGTCCTTCTCTTTACTAGACTAGCCATGCTCAGTTCTTGCAACTGTTCAAGATGGTTTTGAGAGATTAAGAACTAAGGCTGAACCATAAGAAGAATGGTTGTAATAATTAGGTATGTCTAGTCTAATGATGAGAAGGACTCAGAGCGACATGATAGCAGTCTTCCGATATTTGAGCAAATATTAAGCAAGTAATAAGGTGAATCTACTGTATTTTCTCCTACGGGCGTTTTTTTTTTTTTGCCGAAATTAGCTGGTTTTCAAATTTGATATATAAATAAATAAAATGTATGGGACCATGCTATTCCAAAAGGGAGAAGCAATAACCAAAAAAAATATTAAAAATTATTTTAAAACTGTATTCTAGGATCTATTTGAGATGGATGATGGGGAAATCCACTTTCTTAAACTTGTTTGGCTTTCTGCCTGTTGGCTTCTTCTCTGCTGCGTAGGGAAATCTTTGGGTTTTCCAAAATAAACTATACCCTTCTGTGGAAGTATTTTACATGCAGCTGTTAAATCACAGGCTGCGTCCACAAAGGTTTCTACCAAACACCCAGTCATGTAGCTGAATCAGCAACTAAACTGTTGGTTCAGCTGAATATCTTACTTTTTGTAACAACAACAACACAGAGAAGGAGAGAGAGAAGGGAACCTAGAAACAATGGGGAATCCTGCCAAACTTGAACGCAAAAATCTCGGGAACTTCTCTTATCACCTCCATTTTAAACATCACACTGAGAAACAAGGTCTCTGCTTTACTTTTGGTGGTGTTGTGTTTCGTTTACCTCACAAGCCTTGATGTGTTCGTTCTGCCATTCTTCCCTGATCTTCTCCAGAGCGTTGATGTTGTTCTGGTACACCCTGTCTGCAAATGGGAAGCAACAATAAAGTTACCCAGTTGTGTGCTGCAGCTGCCAAAAAAAGCTAACACAGTCCTAAACTGCATCAACGGAGGGATGGAATCAAGATCACGTGAAGTGTTAATACCACACTTTATAATGCCTTGGTAAGGTCACACTTGGGATAGTGCATCCAGTTTCGGTCGCCACGAAGTAAAAAAAGATGTTGAGACTCTAGAAAGAGTGCAGAGAAGAGCAACAAAGATGACAGGAGACTAAAATATATAGAGAATGGTTGCTGGAACTGGGTATGTCTAGTTTGATGAAAAGAAGGACTAGGGGTGACACGATAGCAGTCTTCCAATATCTCAGGGGCTGCCACAAAGAAGAGGGAGTCAAGCTATTCTCCAAAGCACCAAAAGACAGAACAAGAACCAATGGATGGAAACTAATCAAGAGAGAAGCAATCTAGAACTAAGGAGAAATTTTCATGACAGCGAGAACAATTCATCAGTGGAACAACTTGCCTCCAGAAGCTGTGAATGCTCCAACACTGGAAGTTTTTAAGAAGATGTTGGATAACCATTTGTCTGGTGTAGGGTTTCCTGCCTAGGCAGGGGGGTTGGACTAGAACAGGGGCGGCCAACCTTTTGGACCTCAGGGACTACCAAACTCATAATTTTAAATCCTGCAGACCAGAGACCCTGGGAAAATCCCCTCAAAAATGCAGGAAAATTCCCTACCTAGTCTTTCCTTCTCTCCCCCAAACTCCACCAGAAATGAGTCTTTGGGACCCTGCAAGGCCTCCTGCTCCAAGAGGCTGTGCCAGCAAAAACTCATTTCTGGTGGAGTTTGGGGGAGAGAAAGAAAGACTTCTGCTGCTTCTACTGCTTTCCTTGCATGAAGCCAAAAGTCTCTCCTTCCCCCTGAGGATGGAGCTGTGATCCCAAATAAAGAACAATTGATCGGTAGGAAAACAGGGTGGGGGATTTTCCTGCAGACTTTTTGGGGGGATTTTCCCAGGGTCTCCGGTCCACGGGATTTAAAATTATGAGTCTGGTGGTCTCTGAAGTCCAAAAGGTTGGCAACCCCTGCTCCAAAGCACCAGAGGGCAGGACAAGAAACAATGGATGGGAACTAACCAAGGAGAGAAGCAACCTGGAATTAAGGAGAAACTTCCTAACAGTGAGGACAATTAACCAGTGGAACTGCTTGCCACCAGAAATCTTGGGTGTTTCATCACTGGAGGTTTTTAAGAAGAGACTGGACAGTCACTTGTCTGTAATGGTATCGGTTCTCCTGCTTGAGCAGGGGGCTGGACTAGAAGACCTCCAAAGTCCCTTCAGCTCTATTCTATTCTAATTCTAATATAGCATGAGGCATAATTTTCTTGGTCCTTTCAAGATCTGAAAGCAGAACTTTTGCTGAAAATTTGCAAAGGGCATCATTATGAGCAGATTTTGGAGGGGGGGGGTTTGGGTGCCTTTGAGGAAATGCTGACATCCAATTTAAAAAAAAAATAAGCAAGAAAAACTGAAGTCTTAATAAAAGTCCTGCTAATCGAGGATGAATGTTTCCCTTCTGGATTTTTCTTGTAGAATTTGGAAATTCCTATCTGCTCCATGTTAAAGATTCAAAGAACATAAGATTCACAAGGCTGGAAGGGACCTTGGAGTTCTTCTAGTCCAACTCCTGCTCAAGAAAGTTTTTATCATCCGAACGAAATCATTCCTAGGAAGGATTTGGAAAAATCTAATGGAGTTTCTTGTTGATTCACCTTTTCTCTGAAGAAGATGAAGGTTTGCTTCCACTCCCAACTTCAAACCAAGGAAGAAGATATTTAACCAATGGAGTTGAAGTTCCTTCAACTGTCTATATTTATATACATTTTAGGCAATTTTCTTCCTCTTTTCACTCCTACCTATTCCTTTTTTAAAAGGAATTATATTCTATACGGCCTGAGTTCACACAAAATAATGAATCCTCGATCTGAATTCACACACAATTGCTTGGCCCAAATAAATCAAATTTTGACTTAAGCTCACGGACCGGCCCACAGGACACGCTGTGATAATGACTGACCCCCCAACTTCCTATCATTAACCTTAATAGCTCCACTCACATAACATGCTAAACTCAGGTTTCTGGTGTGCACGCACATGCAAAGACCAGCTGGCTGGTGTGCATGCATGCGCCAGACTCTGGAACATCAACGAGCATGCATGCCCTGCCCGAAGAGATGGCTCTGCATGCAACTTCCAGCACGTATGCCATAGGTTCACCATCACGGATCTAGAAGCTATCAGGTTGGGTAATGTTAGTTTAACAAGTGAGGTGATCCTAGTCTCTTGGTGTCAGTCCCCTGTGCGTTAAATTGGTCTTCCTTTAAGACCGAGAAGTGGAAATCGGTGTGATAGTTGCCAATTCTCTTCAGAGGAAGAACGACTCACCTGAGTCCTCCAAGGCAGATTTGGCCTGAGCGAGTTTCACGAACAGCTGAAAAGGAAGAAAAAAATAATAATTGGGGGACGATAAATAACAGAGTCAGGGAACATGTTAATTCTGAAAAGGGGAGAGGAGGAGAAAGAAAAGAAGAGAGAAAAGGAAAAAAGGAAAGGAAAGGAAAAAGAGGAAAAAAAGAGAGAAGACTTACTTCTATTTTTTAATAGGAAAAATAAAGACTCCCTTATAACCGGATTGGGCATAATATAAATACAAATAGTCCTCAGTTTATGACTACAATTGAGCCCAAAATGTCTGCTGCTAAGGAAGATGGTTAGTTTTGCCCCGTTTTATGCCCTTTCTTCCCACATCTGTTAAGCGAATCACCACAGCTGTAAAGTTAGTGACATGGTTGTTAAGTGAATCTGGCTTCCACACTGACTTTGCTTGCCAGAAGGTTGCAAAGGGGCATTGCGTGACCCCAAGACGCTGCAACCGTCATAAGTATGAGTCAACCCTCTGAATTTTGATCACATGACCAGGAGGCTGTTGCCACAGTCATGGGTGCGACAAACGGTCCTAGGTCGCCTTTTTTTTCCAGTACCGTTATAACTTCAAACGGTCACTAAAGGAATTGTTGTAAGCTGAGGGCTACCTGGAGTTGAAGTGCAGCATTGCAGGCTTAGACTGCCCACAGCCTGAGTTCGATCCTGATGGGACTCAAGGTTGACTCAGCCTTCCATCCTTTCGAGGTCAGTTAAATGAAGACCCAGGTTCTTGGGGGCAGGCTAAACCACTTAGAGAGGGCTTGTGACCCAAGGACTACCTCTAAATGCCATTTTGTGTGAAGGCCTCTTGGCCGCTGGCCCCTCCAACAGTCAAATCGGAGAAGGAGGAGGCGTGGGAGTCAGGGTCAGCATCAAGACAGCCTGAGAGCTCCAAGGGGGGTGGAGGGGATTGGAGCTGGAGGAGACAGACAGAGGCAGAGCCTGGGCCGTCCGTCAGCCCTCAGATGGATAGTCAAGAGCCCCCAGGTCTGGAGGTGGTCGAGGAGGAAGAGGAGGAACAGCTGGGTCCAGTGCCTGATGTGCAAATGCACAGAAGGCAGAGGAGAGGAGAGCAGGGGAAATCTATGGGCCGGTCCTTGGGACGGAAGAGCCACTGCTGCTAACAAAGCCCCACCCTAGCTCTGAGGATAAAAGGCAGGGGGCAGAGATGAATAGATGTGGCAGACAACTATCCATCTCCTTGCCGGACAGACTTAAATAGCCTGAGGTGAAAGAGGAACTTTTTGCATGGGGCGGCTGGCGCTCCTATTAAAGGAATCATTGCTTCAACTACAGAGGGTGTCAGGGTTCCGGACAACTGCCCTAAATAATGAGCCTCGAGCCAAGCTTTAAAAGAATCCAAAAGATTTATTCGGAGCGACATGTCTGGCACTAACCCTGTATGAAGCCAACTCTGAGACACGTAATTTACTATCACCTAGGACCCTGTTTCCCCCCCCCCCAGCCCCGTGGGTGTGTCATAAATCAGATTCGCCAATGAAACATGTTCAGGGGCTGGATGTCATCCATCGCACTCTCCAATGAAGGATTTTTGTGGGCAGAAGATCCAGTAGCCTAGGCCAGGGGCCACCAACCTTTTGGGCCCGAGGGACCACTAAACTCGTAATTTTAAATCCCGCGGACCAGAGACCCTGCATGGATCCCCCCTCTACCTTCTCCTGCTGCTTCGGTGTGACCAAGTTGGTGCTCCGATGAACGGCTTGCTCTGCTTCGTCTTTGTCCCTGCATCGCTGTTCATAGAGCCTCTTGGCCTGGGAAATGGCAGAAACAGAGTGTTAGGAATAACAAGGTTACCTAAGGTAGTTTGGGTAAAATAATATATATAAACTATGATTGTAAGTTTAGGTGTGTGTCACTTTAAACTGCAAAGCATGTAATTTTGGGTGCGGTTGTGAACCGCCATAAGAGGGAGCAAGAGAACCTGCTGACGATTGATGGTTTGATGGATTGATGGTTTGCTAACTGCGTGTTCCCTACTGCTGAGTTGCTAAACGTTGAAGGAAGAAAGGAGGTTTGACTTCTTCATATCTCTACTGCGAGGAGATATATTACTGGACTGATATTTGTAAGTTTACTGACCTCTTTTTCGACACTGGACTTTGCAACTGAATAATCCCCGGACGGACTGGATTAGTGAATGATATATGGACTGTTTTTACTATGCTATAACTCTTACTGGAATAAACTATTTAACTAGCACAATGTATCTGTTTTACTGAGTGTAAGCTACAAAAACGTTTATCTCACATATTTTGCCTGACTGCCGTGCAGATTCTGCTAGGGTGTATCCCTAACACAGAGCCAGCTGAGCAGGACAGGCGATGACCCCGTCTATTAATAAACAGAAGGGAGGAACCACTCACTTCTATGGTCTTCTTGTATTGCAGATTCCGGGTTTTGTGAATGGAGTCCATTATTAGTTCAATCTGTGAAGAAGAAGAAGAAGAAATAAATAAAAATGCAAGAAACACACTTTGTTTCCAGGCAAAACATTTCCCCCTTCTAAAAATAGAAGACCGCACATCAAGAATAGAGGGGGGGGGGAGGGAAAGCCACTCTTTTATTTTTAACCTTGCAAAGCACAATTCTCTGTTAACCCTAGAGACGTTCAACTTCCAAGGAATCCTTGACTTTAGGATTGCAACGGAGCGCAAAATTTCCATTGCTGAGGCAATTAAGTGACTTTTGCCCCGTTTTCCAATGCTTTTTATTCCCACGGTTGTTAAGGGAATAGAATAGAATTCTTTTATTGGCCAAGTGTGATTGGACACACAAGGAATTTGTCTTGGTGCAAATATTCTTGGTGTACATGAAAAGAAAAGATACATTCATCAAGAATCACAAGGTACAACACTTAATGATAGTCATGGGGTACAGTGAGCAATCAAATCGTACTAGGAAACAGTCAATATACATCGTAAGGATACAAGCGACAAAGTTACAGTCATACAGTCACAAGTGGGAGGGGATGGATGATAAGGAGAGATGAGAAGATTAACAGTGATAGCAGTGCAGACTTTGTAAATAGTTGGACAGTGTTTCCAGGGATATAACTCCCACAACTTCTGAAGGCAACTTCTGTTCCATTGGTTGATTGCTCTTACTGTCAGAAAATTTCTCCTTATTTCCAGATTGAATATCTTTCCTTATTCAGTTTCCATCCATTCTTCCTTGTCTGACCTTTGGGTGCCTTGAAAAATAGCTAGACCCCTTCCTCTCTGTGGCAGCCCCTCAAATATTGGAAGACTCCTGTCATGTCTCCCCTGGTCCTTCTCTTCACTAGACTAGCCAGGCCCAGTTCTTCTCTTCACTAGACTACCCTTCAACCCTTCTTCATAGGTTTTAGCCTATAAGGTCTCTTGCCTTCAGGGGGGAGTTGGTCTAGAAGATCTCTGAGGTCCCTTTCATAGTACCCTATGGTACTATGTTCTATCTGTTGAGTTACACTGAGTTTCTTTTTCGTTTCCTTCCCGTAAAGCAGCATTTCTCAACCTTGGTTGGCATCTTGAAGAACTGCTGAGTTCAAGAATTCCCCAGTCATGGGAATTCACCCCTGGCAAGCTACCCATGTTTGCTAAGGAAGTCTGAGGCTTCCACACCTCTTAAAGCTATCAAGGTTGAGAAAGAGCACCATACACTATGGAACATTTTCTGTAATAGTCCTGTTTCTTCTTTGTAAGTTCGCTTAGACATTTGGTTACCCTGTGCTAGGTAGAAACTCAACTTTTGTCTGGTGGAGGAGGTGGGGGAAATAGTCACTGGGACGTCCTTCGACAGTAAAAACTAAAACTTGGTAGCTTTTAATTCCGAACTTTGAAATGTAACATAAGCAATCACCGTAAGAGGTAAACAGAACAGATTGACAGATTTGGAAGGGACCTTGTAGGTCATCTAGTCCAACCCCCTGCCCAAGCAGGAGACCCTACGCCATTTCTGACAGATGGCAGTCCAGTCTCTTCTTGAAAACTTCTAGGGATGAAGCTCCCACAGCCACTATTGACAGGTACAGAATTTGATAGGACACTCCCAATTTTGACCATTTGTTGTCTGTTTGACAGGAATGCTTCTATCCAGTTATATAGGTGTCCAAAGATACCATAAGACTTTAGTTTTAGGAGTAGTTTGTCATGTACCACTGAATCAAAGGCCTTACAGAAGTCTATGTAGATTGCGTCTATTGCTTTGCCCTGATCGAGTTGTGTAGTCCATATGTTTTTGCAGTGTAAGAGTTGCAGATTACAGGATAGTTTTTTCCTGAAACCAAATTGTTTGTTGGAGAGTAGGTTGTTTGTCTCTAAGTGGAGGATGAAGGATTGGTTAATAATTGATTCCATGACTTTACAGGTGACGCAGCGTAAAGAGATTGGTCTGTAATTTTCATCTAGGCTGGGGTCTCCCTTTTTGAAGATGGGGATGACCGTGGCTAGTGACCATAGGTTTGGCAAGGAGCTGGTCCTGAAAGATTTTTCAAAGATTATGCTTAGAGGTTCAGCTATGGCAGTGGATAGCTTTTTTAAGAAGCTGGCAAATATTCCATCCAGTCCAATAGATAGAGATGGTTTTAGATTGTGTAGTGCTTTTTCAACATTGTCTTCTGTAAAATCGATATGTATTAGATCATTGTAGTTGTCTGTGGTTCGGCTAGGAAATACTGGGCATGTCCATTGCTGTTTACAAATACTGAGCCGAAGAATGTGTTAAAGATGTTGGCTTTAATGGTGTCATCATTGCAGTCTTTACCATTAGGTCCTATCAGGGGTGGGATGGACCTTGAGTCTTTTAGTTTGTTGTTTACAAAATTGTAAAAAGCGCTATTCTATTCTATTTTATTCTATTCAGTCTTGGAGGCTGAGGAAGGCTCAGACAAGGGCTCTGCATCAGAGGCAGAGATGGGGCCAGGGCAGGCTGGCAGTCAGCAGCTGCCTTTACAGTCAGACAGCAGAGAGGCAGGGGAGCTTCTGGAACTGATTCCCAGCCTGCACGTTTGCAGAGCTGCCAAAAAAATGGCACAATTAAGAACTCAGGGCTGACGTGGGAATAAGGCCACACCGCGGAGATGATTGGTCCCTCCCACAGGGCATAAAAGAGGAGCGAACAGGACGTGAGCTTTTGCAGGAAGCAATTAGTTCGTCTGGTCGTTTCAAGCTCAGAAAAGTTCCGTTTGACTCTGTGTCAAGTTTGGCCTTGCTCTGCGTTAGTTCAATTAGTTCTCTGGCAGCATTCTAAGTGTGATAAGGGTGGGCGTTTATAAACATTCCCCTGAAAGACTGTATGGGAAGCCTTGTGGAATGAATGTAATTCACAGCCGTGGAAATAAGAGAGGACTCTGCTGGGACTGAGATTGTGTCTTATGCTTTCTAAGGAAGCCTAGATCAGAACACATTGGATTGGGAACTGTTGGCTGGGAATTCTGGTCTTGCACTCCCAATATTTCAGGAGAACATCAGATTTGGAAAACTGGTCCATTGATGAGGTAGTCATCTTAGCTTGGTCTTAAGGGGCTTGGTAACTTTACGACTTGTGGACTTCAACTCCCAGAATTCCTCAGCCAGCATGTCCACAAGGCATAAAGTTACCCAGGTTGATGACCCTTGGAATAGATGAATAACTATTCAGAGGATGACCTGGCTGAGGAATTCTGGGAGCTGAAGTCCACAAGTCGTAAAGTTACCAAGGTTGGAGATCCATACTATAGAATGAATCCCTGGTAGGGCTGGGAATTTGTCCAGCAACCTTGGTCGTCACCCACCACATTCAACCAAGGAGGCCTTGTCAACCTAATCTACAATTTCAATTCAGATTTATTGGTGATATTCTGAAATATACTGTAAGAAGCCCCCCCTTCCTCCCCAGATTAAATACTCCTCATTCTTAATATTAAGAGAGGCAGGATAGAATATTTACGCAAAGGAAAAATGAAGAAACATGTTCTTAAAGGCAGAAAGCAGCTCCAGTCTTCCTGCATAGTAAAACAGCCTCCAGCAGATGCCTGATGGATATTTTGTACCTATTAAGAAAGACTGGACCAATCTATTCATAAACAGGACACCTACAGCTCCACATGATGGGATTAAGAATTTACATGCCCCACCCAAATTCGAAGAACAGGACAGGACCTTTAGGACATAACTAGCTCTATACCTGTGCTTCGCTACCAAACTATGTCGTCGGGCTTAGTTTTGGGGGAGGAAAATAAGGGGAAAAAATTGTGCCTCTGCCTACCAGCATCCATCAGTATTCATCTGGCTAGCGTCCTGTCAGTGTGTGAGAGAGTTGAGGGGTGTTTGGAAACGGAAACATGGAAACTGAAACAGGATTGTGAGCAAGAAGGAGACAGCAAGGAGCCTGGGTGTGGCTTAGCTCAACTGTTCTGTACTAAAGTGCTTGGTGCTGTGAAACTAAAACTGAAATTCCTCTGCTTGTGTTTTGCAATTGGAACAGATTTATTTTCAGGCGCGAAGGATAAGTAGAACTCCTTAGCATGAGAGCATGTTAATAATAATACACAAAATACTTGTGAAAACCCAAATAAAATTGTTTTCTTTTTAAATGATATATAAAATACTAATGCTCTGATGGTCATTTCAAAAAATCCTTTCTTAGTGAACACCTAGAAGCCAAGAGACACATATGTGTCAAATTTCAAGTTTGTACACTTTACAGTTCGGGAGATTTTGTAATGATGCGTGACTGGTATTTTTATATGGATAGACAGGATTTACCCACCACCTTTAGAATAGCAAAAGACACAAGGCTCACTACATTGTACAACCCCCTGGAGCATCTCAAACCCAAAACACCAGAAACCTATAAAGATCCATCTATGCATTCAGCCATTTTGTCGGCTGTCCCAGAACTGCATGCTGTGATTAGTTCTCTCATCAATAAACCTTCTTTCTTAAGCACCTTCCATTTTATTCCCGACTTGGAACAGAACCTGGATTTTTCTTCCAACAATACCTCCCTCTCCCCAATTCCTCACCTTTTTACGGTGGAGTTTTTGTTTTTCTCTGAAATCCTCCATTTTCTTCGCTTCTTCCCTGAGATTCTGGGCTAGCTGCATATGGACTTGGCCAACAGTCTCCACTCCTAGGAGAAAGAACATCAACTCAGGTAGGAAATCCACTGTTCTCATCATTTCACAGATGAGAAACCAGTTGCAGAAATTTTACAACTAGACTTGTGCCTTGTGCAAAGCCATAATTTGCTCAGTTAAGGATGGTCCATTCCTTACGCTACAATGACCGAACTTCACATTTCACACTTGAGCATAAATCTGTCCCACAAACCACAATGGCTGGATTCACACCTTTTAAATCAAAGTCAAACTCATCCTCCCGGGGGCTCAAGGGAAGCCTCTGGAGCCTTTGGAGGCCGAAAAACAGGCCCGTTTCATCACAGGCAAAAAAAGGCCTCAAACAGGCGGAAAATCCGCTGGGAGGCAGGCGCATGCGCAGTGCAGGTAAATTTGGCTGAGGCTCACATGCCCGCACAAATGGCTCCATGTGCCACCTGCGACACGCATGCCATAGGTTCGCCATCACGGTTGTATTCTATTCTAAGTTAGTTTTAGCAGAGCTGCGCTCTTTCCAACACACCGTCTTGGACTACCAGAACTTCTACAGATATTAAATACTAGGAAAATGATGACTCTTCCTATGACCTCTGAGATATAGATGGACTGCTCCCCATTCTGAGGTCAAGAAAATTCCTCCAGCTTCCCACCCTGGGCATGACCCTGATGACTAACTCTATCTGAAGATGAGTAAGACTTATCTCAGAAGTTCATGGCTACTGACAGTCACTATATTATAATCTAGCAATGTGGGAAACTCTCAGGCTCCATGTCTTAACGTAGCCTGAAATGTTGGCTTCTTTCCAATGACTCAGACTGAGAACAAGGGTTCCTCAAACTCTACAGCAGGAACATCCAGGCCTGGCAACTTTAAGCCTTGTAGACTTCAACTCCCAGAATTCCTCAGCCAGCCATCACCAGGAGACTGAGAGTTCTAGTCTTGCCTTGGGTATGAAAGCCAGCTGGATGATTTTGGGCCAATCATCAGGAAATGGTGAGTTTCAGACTCACACAAGGCTCTTCAAACTTGGCAAGTTTAAGACTTGTGGACTTCAACTCCCAGAATACCTGAGCTAACATGATTGGAGGAGGAATTCTGGGAGTTGAAGTCCACAAGTCTTAAAGCTGTCGAGTTTGAAGACCCCTGCCTTAGCATGAAAGCCAATTGAGTAACTTTGGGCCAATTACCAGGAGTTCTAGCCCTGCCTTTGGCATGAAAGCCAACTAGTGAAGAGAAGGACCAGGGGAGACATGATAGCAGTCTTCCAATATTTGAGGGGGAGAGGACCTGTTTTCCAAAGCACCTGGAGGCCAAACAAGGAATAATGGACGGAAACTGAGCAAGGAGAGATTCAACCTGGAAATAAGGAGAAATTTTCTGACTGGCCCCGCCCCCATCTATTCTCTGCCTCCTGAGTCCCAGCTGATCGGCTGGGTCTCCTTTGGTTGCCCTGCACAGGAGAATGGAGCTGGAAAGAAGGTTAGTGGGATGGGGAGGGAATGGGGATTTTACAGTATCCTTCCCTTGCCCGCCTACCAAGCCACGCCCACCAAGCCACACGCACAGAATAGGTAGTAAAAAAAAAATTGAATCCCACCACCGGACAGTGTCAATTCTTTGGTTTGTCTAGCTTAACGTTCTCCATGTTGATCTGCCGTCTCTACCATACAGGACCTCAACCGATGTTATCCCTCCACCAGAATGTATGGTGACCACCTTATCCGGGTATTATGGAATGTGGAGCTTAATGCACAGGGAAAATCCACAGAAAAGCTGAGTTATTTCCCCACAAACAAAGTTCAACTTTTGTAACACTTACGTTGCTTGAAGACCTCCAGTGCTCTTCTGAGGGTGCTAAAATGAAAGGAAAACAGACAATGAGGTTGAGCAATCGTGAAATTGTTTTGATGTCACCATAAAACACACACACACACAAACACACACACAAAAAAAACAACCCCAAGACTTTGCTGCAGGTTTTCAGAAATTAGTCCAATTTCAACACCTGATTAGGCAAGTTGTGAAACTCAAAACATAGCTCTACAGTCAGATAAATTTCTGAACTTCTCTTTCCTTGTTCGCTAGTGATTTCCCTAGGCGGCCCAGTCAACGTTTCTCAATCATTCAAAGGACACTCAAAATGCAAAATCCAGAAGACACGTTTAATTCAGGCAGTGAGAAGAACAAAAACCTTGTGTACCTCTTGCCCCAGGTCAAGTTCGTACAATGCACACTAACCCATGGCAGATCAGTCGCATGCCTTCTCCGTTGGGTTCCCCCAATCCGCTAAGGCTAAACCATGAAGAGGCAAAACACGTTCTAATTTTATGCAAATCGCTTGTAAAACAAATGTGGGATCCCTGTCTGCGTTTGAAGGATGAAAGGAGGTACAAGTTGCTGCTTAAGACAACGGGGAAATCCACATGGCTGCCCTTCACAGGCTCACCGTGGTATGCCCTGACTGCTTTGAGATCAAACCAGTTTGGCCTAGTGACTAAGGTATTGGGCTAGAAACCTGGTAACAATGATGGTGAGTTCTAGTCCTGCCTTAGGCAAGAAATCCAGCTGGGTGACTTGGAGCCAATCACTAGGAGACTGTGAGTTCTAGTCCTGCCTTAGGCATGAAGACTGACTGGATGACCTTGGGTCAGTCCCCCTCCCTCAGCCCAACCCACCTCAAAGGATTGTTGTTGTGAGGAAAATAGGAGGAAGAAGAATTAGTTATTTTTGCTGCCTTGAATTATTTATACATATAAAAGCAAGCTATAGAGATAGAGTTAGCATTAGAATTAAAGTTAGAGATTGAGAAAGAGAAAGAGAAAAAGAGAAAGAGAAAGAAATATAATTTAGACAGAGATTAGAGATAGAGATATACCAGTAGATATAGATATAGAAATTTAATATAGAGACAGATTAGATATAGATTAGATTATTTGGGGGGTATGGCTTATATTGGGCACACATGTAAAAAATCAAGCTAGGGCTTACTTTCAGGGTAGGTTGTATTTTCGGGGAAACAGTAGATATAGATATGTAGGTATATAATAGATATTAGATATATAGATGTAGTATAATAGATATATAGAGATATAGATTAGATATAAATATAGATTAGACATATAGATTAGATATAGATATAGATTAGACATAGAGACAGAGATAAGATATAGACCTAGACAAAGTCATGGTTAAAAAAATCCCAGGGAATGACACGTGTTAAGTCAGACGTCCTGGACAGAGAGAGAGTCCACCAAGAAGGGCTGTTCCTTTCTCCCACTTCTGTATCAAGTCATCTGTCTCCCTAAATGGTCATGGATGGGAACTGGTAGCCACGCACCAAGCCAAAGGCAAACTCTCTTCCTGTGACTGCATTTTCCTACCAAATTGGGAACTGATTTTCAACCCTTGGGAGGGAGGACTCTCTCGCACATAGATAGGGCCAACCTGAACAAATGGCTAAGTAACTGCAATTGCTCAGCAAGGGAACTTCAGGCAACGCTTCCTATGAATTCATTCCTGCATCATGGATGCAACCATTGGCATGGGAGTCATTGTTAGATTAAATAAATAAACCGTCAAAGCAAGGGGGTCAGGTAGGATTTTTCCTTCCCATTTTTAGATGTTCATCCAGACTATTTTTAAACTAGGGATAAATCGCCAAGCTGAAATCTAGGAGACTAATGTGGTATTTGACCGAGAATGATGGCTAAGAGATTTCTCCAAACCCTGTTTTCATCTCCAACAAGTGGATGCTTACTTTAGCTCTGTCTGCCCACAGGGTTTCTTCCGTGACAGGTTGATCAGATCCTTCCCATATCTCTCTTCTACAGAAGCCCTGAAACAGACAAAGATCGGCGTAAAATTCAGGGTTCAGCCAAGTGAAGACCTCTGACCCGTAGTTTCATCCTGCTACTGAAATTCAACTCAAAAATAGACAATCTTCCAAGACATGTAGACAATCTTCCAAGACATGTATGTATGTATGTATGTATATATTCATATTCTTAAGTTTTCGCGGGTACTTACATGTATGGTATTCAGCTTTGTTCGGGTATTTTCCCACATCATTGTAGTTGTGCTTTTAAAGTTGTAGCAACGTCTCAGCAGAATCTCATCTGCCATCATCAGGCTTCTGTATTGTGTTCGTCTGTGAGTCAGACTATCACAGCCGTTTCAGTTTTAAAAGCACAACTACAATGACATGGGAAAATACCCGAACAAAGCTGAACACCATAGTGTGTGTGTGTGTGTGTGTATGTATATGTGTGTGTGTGTGTGTGTGTGTCTATATATATATTAGCAGAAAGCCCTCAGTTCCCGTTTTTAACCTTTCAAATCCCCAAATATGGTCCTTAAAGAGAGTGAAATTTGTGCTCTACGTGGGATTGCCTTTGAAAAAAACCACATCTGACCCAGGATGGGACTGCACACTGGGCATGCCAAGATTGTGCCCATGTGAAAATTGCTGCCTTGTACAGCCACGTACAAAGAAAACCTCTACAAAACATTCTATCGTTGGCATCTAGCACCAGCGAAATCGGCCAAAATCTACCCCCAAATCTGAACCCAATATGTTGGAAATGTAAAAACACCAGTCACCTTCTTTCATACATGGTGGTTGTGCTCTAAAGCAAAGAAATTTTGGAACAAAATAAGGATTTGGCTGCAAGAAATAACTGGGGGGGGGAGAGAACTTAAGCCTGAAATGTCCCTATTAGAGATAATTAGAGGTGATTACAAGAAAGAAATTGAATATATAACAATATACATGTTGACAGCAGGTAGAATAACATATGCTCAAAACTGGAAATCAGAGAGTAGTCCCACAGATAATGTGTGAATAAAAAAAAATGATGGATTGCGCATAAACGAATAAACTTACAATGGAATTGCAGGAGAAGGAAGAAAAAGAATACTACGCGGTCTGGGAGAAATGGTATGTTTGATTTAGATAACAGGAATAAAAAAATAATGTAAAATGTAAATGTAATTGATGTACATATGTATATATTTATACATGAATATGGTGAATGAATATGGAGAAGCCGATGCCACAACACACTGCAGAAATTGTAAATATGATTTGATTTAAAACTTTAAAACTTTAATAAAATTTATTTTTAAAAAAGAAAAGAAAATTGCTGCCTTGTGAGTTAGATTCCTATAGGTTGTGTTTCGGAGGAATTCGGCATGCTGGTTGTTACTGACAAAGCCGTAGGTCAGCGATGGCTAACCTTTTTAGTGCCATGTGACTGCATTCAGTTTTACGACCTATTTTGTGGTGAAAAGCCACGGTCATTAAGCAAACCCATTCTACCCCAAAAGATGGTTTTTTGCAGGAAACTAGAAATTGCTGGCCAATGACTGTGGGACATGGCAAATGGCCCTAAAATGCAACTGGTAGTTAAGGACCCACAATGCTTTCATTGTACAGATAGGTACAGATTAACAGAGTTGGAAGGGACCTTGTAGGTCATCTAGTCCAACCCCCCGTCCAAGCAAGAGACGCTCCACCATTTCTGACAGATGGCAGTCCAATCTCTTCTTGAAAGTTTCCAGAGATATAACTCCCACAACTTCTGAAGGCAACTTCTATTCCATTAGTTGATTGTTCTGTCAGAAAGTTTCTCCTTATTTCCAGGTTGTTCAGTTTCCATCCATTATTCCTTGTCTGGCCTTCAGGTGCTTTGGAAAAGAGCTTGACCCCCTTTTCTCTGTGGCAGCCCCTCAAATATTGGAAGACTGCTATCCTGTCTCCCCTGGTCCTTCTCTTCCCTAGACTAGCCAGGCCCAGTTCCTGCAGCTGTTCTTCATATGTTTTAGCCTCTAGTCTCCAAATCATCCTGGTTGCTCTTCTCTGCACTCTTTCTAGAGTCTCAACATCTTTTTTATAATGTGGTGACCAAAACTGGATGCAGTACTCTAGGTGTGGTCTTACTAAGGCTTTATAGAGTGGTATTAGTACCGCACTTGATCTCGATTGTATCCCTCTGTTAATGCAATTTAGGATTGCATTGGCTTGTTTGGCTGCTGCCGCACACGGCTGGCTCCTATTTATCTGGTTGTCCACTAAGACTCCAAGATGCTCACAGTTACTGCTGTTGAGACTGGTTTCACCCAGTCCATATGTGTCCTTTTGGTTTTTCTTGCTTAAGTGTAGGACTTTACTTTGTGATTGATGTGTGACCGCTGGAGCAGGGATGTGAGTGGCCAGCCATGAGAAGTTAAAAACCAGATCATAAGCAGCTCTGCATAGGTCCATTGTAACTTCAAATGTTCACTAAGTGAGCATTCATAAGTCAAGAACTACCTGTATTGGGGCTAGAAAGTCCAAGAGAACATTCAGGAACCTTTCACCATTCCAGAAAAGCGGTCATACGCACCTTTCTCGCAAAAAGTCTTCAAATTCTTTGCAGTTCTTCCTGCCGTCGTTCAAGTGTTGGACAATGTTGTCATATCCGGCTGTGCTGATCAAGTCTGTTGTCTGAAAAAAGAACATTTAAAACTTTGTTAGGCAAATAACACGCACTGCATTTTCCACGTGGGTAGCTTAGAAGCAGCCCAAGGTCGTATTTGACGTACACACACATTTTATTTTTGTTTTTGTTTTATATAAATTTATTTATTCACCATTTCAACATTTAAAAAACAATTTTCACTTTTTACAATGATGTTGTAACGGTGTTCACACTGGTTAATAAAGTCTGTGGCTATATCAATTACTTCTCCATTCTATTCACTTATACTCTTATTTCCTGATCTAACTTATAACGGTAATCTCCCAAACAGGCCATGGAAGCAGTATGCTTTGTCCTATATTTGGGTAGATCAGGTTGCCCTGATTAAAAAAACAACAACACTTAACCTCTCCTTTGGTATAGCTGACAAAGCCAGGAGAGCCCGTGGCTTGGAGGTTAATACAGTTACCTAATATGTAAGTAACCTGGGTTTGAATCCCAGAAGCGTATGGCTAGCTAAAGAGAGCTAAACTCTTTGAACAGGATTCATACAACTCTCCCTTTATCTCTTTGTCAGTAAAATATAAAATACAGCCATCTTAAAGTTGTCATGAATAACAAACACTTATACATGTGTGGGAATCCAGGACCCCTCATATCCCACCCCAGAGAATGAAATATTTTGGGGAATATTAAAAGAGGCAGAATGTTATATTTCCCCAAAGGAGAAGCAGAGGAAAATCTTAACAAAGGCAGAAAGCAGAACCATTCTTCCTGCCATAGGAAACCCAAGAAGCTTGAAGGGGTAACCTTTAGGAATGCAGTTTTTTTTTTCCATTCAGAAAGACTGGGCCAATCTATTCACAGACAAAATGCTTTCAGCCACAGCTCCCACCATTAAAGCCAACCTCTTTAACACATTCGTTGGCTCAGTATTTGTAAACAGCAATGGATCATGCCCAGTATTTCCTAGTCAAACCACAGACAACTACAATGATCTAATACATATTGATTTTATAGAAGACAATGTTGAAAAAGCACTACACAATCTAAAACCATCTCTATCTTTTGGACCAGATGGACTATGTGCCTACTTCTTAAAAAAGCTATCCACTGCCATAACCGAAACCTCTAGGCATAATCTTTGAAAAATCTTTCAGGACCAGCTCCTTGCCAAACCTATGGTCACAAGCCACGGTCATCCCCATCTTCAAAAAGGGAGACCCCAGCCTAGATGAAAATTACAGACCAATGTCTTTACACTGCGTCACCTGTAAAGTCATGGAATCAATTATTAACCAATCCTTCATCCTCCACTTAGAGACAAACAACCTACTCTCTAATAAACAATTTGGTTTCAGAAAAAAACTATCCTGCAATCTGCAACTGCAAAAACATATGGACTACACAACTCGATCTGGGCAAAACAATAGATGCAATCTACATAGACTTCTGTAAAACCTTTGATTCAGTGGTACACAACAAACTACTTCTAAAACTAAAATCTTATGGTATCTCTGGACAACTGCATAACTGGATAGAAGCATTCCTGTCAAACAGACAACAAATGGTCAAAATTGGGGGTGTCCTATCAAATTCTGTACCTGTCAATAGTGGTGTCCCCCAAGGCAGTGTTCTAGGACCAATTCTCTTCATACTCTACATAAATGACCTCTGTGATCATATCAAGAGCAACTGCGTTCTCTTCGCTGATGATGTAAAGCTATTCAACACCACAGACAATACTGCTACCTTTCAAAAAGACCTTGACTATGTATCAGAATGGTCAAACAAATGGCAACTTCAAATCTCAACAAATAAATGCTCTGTCTTACATATTGGCAAAAAAAAATCAGAAAATAAAATACAAGCTGAATAGTCAAGGCCTTGTTGATGATCCAAGCTCTGTAAAGGACCTTGGAATACACATCTCTAATGATCTAAGTGCTAGAGCCCACTGTAACTACATAGCCAAAAAGGCATTAAGAGTTGTTAACCTAATCCTACGTAGCTTTTTCTCTGGTAATATCACACTACTAACTCTACCCGACTCTGTAGTTTCTTCCCCAAACCCCAAACCCCAAAAACTTTAACCTTAGACTGTCTACTATTGACCTCACCCCTTTCCTAAGAGGTCTTTAGGGGGCGTGCATAAGCGCACCAATGTGCCTACCGTCCCTGTCCTATTGTTTCTTTCATTTTTCTTGTATGTATCCATGCATTCATAACTATGTTTTTACTTATACCTATTATCTTGTAAGCAATTGACAAACCAAATAAATAAAATATATAAATAAAGGCTAGAACTGATGGGATTAAGAATTTACATTCCCCGCCCAAATTCTAAGGACAGGACATGACCTAATAGGATTATTAACCCACCAACCACTGAAATAGCAAAAGACACAAGGCACAACCCCCCTGAAGCATCTCAGAACACTATAAAGACCCATCCACTCACTCAGCCATTTTGTCAGCCACCCCAGAAAAGCTGTTGTCACTGAAGTTTCTGGAAAACCAAGTAAACAGAGATCTTCTTTTCTTGTGGCCAGCCTCCATTTTATTTCCCAGCATTTTTCCCCCAGTTTGGAACCAGACTGGATTTTTTTTCCCCACACATGAAAGAGAGGTTCAAGAAACCAGATGTTTTTTGCCTCCAAAATGCATTCTCTTCAGATCCAGGAACAAAGATTAAAGCACTCTTGTTGAATTTGGGCAGCTTTCCAGATACGGAGACTTCAACTCCCAGAATTCCCAGCCCACATAGCCCCAGCTGGGCGTTTTGGGTGGTAGAGTCCCCCTACTTGGAAGCTTCTAGGTTGAGAAACACAACATTAAAGATTATACTATTCATGGCACGACCCGTTTGGGGGATTATTGCTAGGTTTCCTGGTAGTGCGGTGAATCGGCCTCCCTCAGAAGTTCTCTTTTAAAATTTCAATTTCCTCAAAAGTTTACATAAGAAACCCCAAAGGGCTACTACCGTTTGGAGCACTTCCCTGCCAGCATGAGAAGTAGGCAGTTTTCATTTGAGAATCAAATCTTAATCCTTGAGCGGATTACCAAGAATCAGAAACAACTGGTACCCATTTCAGAAGACAAGATCACAACGAAACTTATCTCTTTCACCACCAAGTCACTTATTCCAAATTCAACACTTCAGTCTCAGTAGAATAAAGAGAAGTTGGACTTAATAGAAACATTTGGAGGAGAAAAAAACAAAAACAGAACAGATGCACACAAAAGAGGCAGAAGCAAGCATGTGGGGCTGTACATACAGTACAAGCAGTCCTCGATTTACGACCACAATTGAGCCTGTTGTTCAAGGAGACATTTGTTAAGGGAGTTTTGCCCCGTTTCACGCCTTTTCTTGCCAGCGCTGTTAAGTGAATTGCTGCGGTTGTTCAGTTAGTGACATGGTCGTTAAGTGAATCTGGCTTCCCCGTTTGCCTGTCAGAAGGTCGCAAAAGGGGATCACATAACCCCCCGGGATACTGCAACTGTCATAAGTATGAGTCAGTTGCCAAACATATGAATGTGGTTCCCATAAGAGTGGGGATGCTGCCATGATTGTGTGAAAAACGGTCATAAGTCACTTTATTCAGTGAACAGTCACTAAACAGACCGTTGTAAGTCAAAGGTTACCTGTATTTCACATTTAATATGAAAAACGGCTTGGTGACTTTGAGTCAATCATCAGGAAACTGTGAGTTCTAGACTTGCATTAGGTATGAAAGACAGCTGGGTGACTTTGGAACAATCATCAAGAGACAGGGAGTTCTAGTTCCGCCTTATGCAGGAAAGCCAGCTAGCTGACTTTGG